GGAGAGAATTAAACTGCTCGGGGGTGAAAAATAAGAATATTAGGGAGCAAACTGTGGCAGCGCATGAAGGAGGGGAATACTTTAAAAAAAAAAAACAAACAAAAAAACAGCAAAACCTACAGCAAAAAAACCACAAAGTTGTATTTGTAGATTGTTATTAAAGTGCAAATAACTGAATTTTCAACACTGGTTTGGAGTCAGCTTTCAGGGCATAATGTGTTGCTTGATGAAAAGATCAGCCCATAAGACCCCCTTTTAAAGGAAAATTATCGCAGGAGAATCAGGATGTGTAAAGCTAACATGCATCGCCCAAAAGGTAACCTAAATGTCTGATTTTAATAGCGCATTTCTCTTTTCCATAAACCCCGTGACGTAAAACTTTTTTTACCCAGCCAAGCCTTCAGATGTTTTAATTTTAATGTAAAAAAAGAAAACAAAAAAAAACTTGCAAAAAAAGGAAAATGTTTAAAAATAAAAAACGTTTTAAAACAACCCACATGTTTTTTTTTCCTGCATAAATTAGCAATAACTTTAATAACGTGCCCTCAGAAAAAAAAAAAAAAATTGCACTCTGGTGGAAATGTGGGCAAAGCTTTAAATATCCGAAGGATGTTAAATGAAAATGAACGTAGTTAGTCCTGCTACTGCCAAAAAAAAAAGAAAAAAACCAACCCAAATTGTGCTCAGTTGTTTAAAAATGTAAACATTTTTTAGCCCTCCCCCAGTATTGCTGTTCCCCGTGAAACGTCCATAGCTCAGCTGAAAGTTGCATGTTTTCCTTCATGTGTTAATTGCATGTGGGAATCTTTTTTTTTTTTTTTCCTTTTTTTTTTGGTGTGGGTTTTTTTTTTTTGGGGGGTGGGTGGGATTTGTGCTTCCCTTGAGGAGCCTCACGGATGTCTTTGGTTTGCAGGAGGAGAGCGAGTTGAGTTGAGTGGAGCACCAGGGACTGCACCCACCGGGGGTGAGGAGGAGCAGGGGCGGTGCCCACGGGGTGAGTCCTGCGTGTTTTCACAGCGTTCCGTGGGGGTGGCACCATCTGAGCTGCTAAATCAGAGCCGTCCCTGACACCCAGCACCAGTGGAAAGGGAAGCTGGCTCGGGGGAGGCTCCGGAATTGTACCTGCCTCGAGCTCTCCCCGCCAGGATCCGGAGGGAGAGAGGTTTTTAGTGGATTTGGTGAGGGGGGGGAATGTGCTGAGATCCATCTCTTGTTGCTGGCTGAGGTGCTGGGGTTTGTGAGTGCTCTCAGGGGTGAGGTGGTGCTGGGTTTCTGTGGAATCAGGGGCTGGTTTGGGGTGGAAGGGACCTTCTCAGCCCCCTGGGATTTGATACCCGAGGCTGCAGGAGCAGAGCAGCTGCAGGAATGGCTCGGTGGGAATTCCTCTGTGAGTCCCTGAGGCATTGAAATCACAGACTGCAGATTTTGAACCCAGTGCTGCCCAGCCAGACCTTGCCAGTGCTACACCTTCTGACCCCCGTCAGTGGAATCCAATGGGATCTGGCTGCTGGCTGGCCTGGTTTTAAGGATTTCTGTCAGCTGGCATTGCCAGACATCTCCTGGGACACATCTCTTAGAATCCCAGAATGGTTTTGGTGGGAAGGGACCTTAAAGGTCATCTCATTCCACCCCCTGCCATGGGCAGGGACACCTTCCACTAGCCCAGGTTGCTCCAAGCCCCATCCAACCTGGCCTGGAACATTCCAGGGATGGGAAATAGGCCATGGTTCTCTAATAAATTACTTTTACAAAGGGATGCAGGTGGTTGCAAACGGGTGGGAGGTGATCACACATCAGTGGAGTGACCTGCTTAGGCAGCAAGGACACATTTCCTCCCCAGGGCAGCATCCCAAGGCTTTTTTGGGAACAGCTAAATGCTTCCTCTCAAATCCTGAGATGACTGGAAGTCTGAGCTCCATAAATAAAAGAACAAAGAAATAAACCCTCGCAGTGCTGAACGAGCCCAACGGCTTCAAAAGACAACCTGGGCACAGGAGACATAAAAGGACACAAGTCTAATTTTACATGGAATTGTAAAGCTCCCAAACGAGCTGCTCTTATCTGAGGAGTATTAGGGACAAGGAGGGGGTAATGTGTGGAAACGCTGCAAAGGGGAGATTACCCTGAATTCTTTCACTTGAAAATTGGATCCTGCCAGGGGGAACGATAACATGTCTGGATTTGTGGCCTGGTTATCAAATTCATCTTCATTTACAGTGTAATTGGAACATCCATTTCTCTGGCCACGTCCCAATCTCTCCCGTTTCTCTCTTAATAGGCACAGCTTTTATATCAAGTGGAAAAGATTTGATAGAGATCATCTATTAGGATGCAGTTTTTTACCCCTAGAAGTGGATCTTGTAACTCTGGAAGGATCCAGCTTGTGCCTTGCCTTTGTTTCATGTTTATGGGGAAGACTTTAATCTTATGGCAGACTGTAAATATTAATACATTGAGAGAACTGTACATGCTACAAGTATTTTGCAAACATGCCCTGGATCAGACATTCCCTCCCTCTCACAGCGCTGCTCCAGTCGGATTTTAGCCTGGAGTCTGCAAGAGCTAATTTGAGATCCCAAAATAACCCTCAGCATAGGATGTGTCTCTCCAAGATGCTCTAATTAGCCAGACATTCCGGGGGTGATGCAGGAATTTGTGAGGGATAGAGGTTCCTTTGAGTCTGAGTCACCTAAATAACCTAAATAACCTTCCCTTTCCTACCGGCACGTGGCTGCTGGAGGTGGAATCGGCTGGCTGTGACCTCACAAGTGCCAGGGATCTTTCATATCCCAATTTTCCCAGAGGACTAATCCACACCTCGTTATTTGTAGGGTTTTTGGTGAAGGCCACAGAGCAGAGGTTGTGCCTGGCTCTGTGCAGGGGGATGTGCAGCAGCTGGGACATCTCCTGTGAGGAAGCTTTTCCCAACAAAACCCGCTCTTGTTAAGAGATTTTTGGCTCCAGGAACACCCTCCTGCTGCAGAACACTCAGCATTCCCATCTTTCCTGCCCCTTTGTTATATGGAATCATAGATTCATGGAATGCTTTGGGTGGGAAGGGACCTTAAAGCCCACCCAGTTCCACCCCTCTGCCATGGGCAGGGACACCTTTCACTGGACCAGGTCACTCCAAGCCCTCTCCAATCTGGCCTTGGACACTTCTAGGGATGGGAATTCCACACCCTCTGTGGTGTTTCGTGTCTAACTCAGCCTCAGTTCAAGCACAGTGGTTTAAAGCCTTTACCTCGATATGCCCCTCCAAAATTCCATCTTGGATAAGCTGTGTTTAGGAGCACAGCTGGATTCCCTACCCAGCTCTCGGAGCAGATGATTCCTTTTGTACAGGCCGAGCTTTTAAATCTGTGTAAGAGCATCTGTCGTGAGCAGAGCCAAGAAAAACAGTTCAAATGTGCATTTTCTCCTTCCTTAACCCATCCTGCTGCTCTCCCAGAGAACCCTTGGGCTGGGGGTGGTTCCTGCAGCTGGGATGTGTCTGCTGGGAGCTGCAGAGCAGAACAGGCTTCCCTGGGAACGGGGGGAGCTTTCAGGGAGGAAATCGGGGCTGAGGGAAATTCTTCCTTAATTGATAAACCTGTAAGGTGTTGGATGAGACACTGGACACGTGTCCTGCTGGTGAGCTGTGAGGGGGAGGGAATTCCTGCAGGTTATCCAGGGGTTCCCATCCCACTGGAGATGTTATTCCTCAGTTTCTCCCTGGGAAGCTCCGTTCTGTGAGCACAGAACCCAAACCTTTGCTGCTGCTGCTGCTGCTGCTCAGCTGAGCCTGCCACTGCTGCCATATGTTTTAATGGGAATGTTTCTTTCCACGCTCCTTTTGCTCCTTCTGCAAGGAGGGATGAGGCTCCTGGGAGCTGCTTTCAGAGCTGATCAAGGAGCACAGCTGAGACACTTCCCTGGGAAATAGGAACCTGCCAGATCTTGGGGAGTGTTGGAGAGCGCTGGAGCCTCCCTTGGATCCCACGAGAGCAGCAGCTGTGTGTTGGAACACTGAAATATGAAGTGTTTTCTGCTGAGGCTGTTGCTTTTACCACTGAATTTGGAACTAGGTACGGCCAGAAAGCCTCAATACATCCTGTTGTAGTTGCAAACCTGATATATTTTAGCCTGAAAATGTTTCTAACCTGATGTTGGTGTGTCCTGTTACCTTTGTAGTTGTTCCTGGAAGGCTCTGTTAAACCACAGGTGTCTGGATGCTCCTGGCTTTTGATGGCTTTGCACATTTAGATTGGGAAGGACCTCCAAGACCGTCGAGTGCAACCTGTGACCACCTCGTCACCCAGCCCAGAGCACTGAGTGCCACATCCAGTCACCCTTGGACACCTCCAGGGGTGGGGACTCCACCTGCCTGCCTGGGCAGCCCCTTCCAAAACCGGTCAAGAACTAAACCTTGGCCCTGGGGAAGTCCATTAATTTCGGAGATTTTTGCCTCCAGCTGGTTCTCAGCGTTGTAAAACGCTCCATCTGTGCCGAAGCACCAACACCCACAAGTGGAGGAGATCACTGAGAAAAAAAACACCGCGAACAGATGATAAAGATGCTGAAAAGTGATCAAGGTGAATCACAGCATGAAAATAACTTGGCTGGGAGCCCGGCGAGCTCCTGCACCGATAACTTGGATGGGAGCCTGGCGAGCTCCTCCACCAGAGAGCACTGGGCTTCCCGCTCCAGCTATTCCACGATCCTACAACTCTGTGCTGGAAGTGATCCCTCATTCCGTGTAATAAAGTCCTGACGATGAATGTTTTAGTTCTGCTTTCAGCGGCTGTTTCCCTGGTTTCGCTGGGGGTGTTTTGGGAGGATTGGGGGTGACGGGGGTGGGCGCTGGGACCCTGCGGCGCCCTGGGCTGAGAGTGGGCGTGGCTTTGGGCGTGGCCAAATGGAATGGGGCGTGTCCAGCAGCTCGGGGGGCGTGGTCAGTGGCGTTCGCGCCCCGCGAAGCTTGTCCCGCTCCGGCCGCCGTCGCGGCCCGCCCGCCATATTGCGGCCGGCGCAGGCGGAGCGGCGGCGGCGATGGGTGAGGGGGGACCGGGGAAGGGCCCCGGGACCGGGCCGGGAGCGGGCGGGGGGAGCCCCTCCGGCAGCCGCGGGGGCGGCCCGTGCGCCGGGCGGGGCGCGGCGCAGCCCCGAGGCTCGCCCCGCCCCGGCCCCGCCGCGCTCAGCGGGGGCGCGGCCTCGCCCGGAGCCCCCCGAGCCCCTCAGAACCCCCGCAGCAACCTCGGGGCGTGCTCGTGGACCTTTTTCCCCTCCGGAGTCCTTAATGCAGGTCCTGTGTGTCCCGGTGGGGGCTGCAGAGTCACCTTCGGGCTGCCCCGAGAGTCCCGGTGCTGCCCCGGCTGGACCCCCCGGGCGCTCAGAGCTCCCGTCACCCCCTGACTGCCCCTGTTGCTCCCCCAGAGCCCCCTTGGCCCCCTCATCTCTTTCTCGGGCCCCACTTGTACCCCCTCTTCTCTTTCCTGCCGCTCCCCCAGACCCCCCGTGTGTCCCGCTGTTCTCCTGCAGCCCCCACTTGCACCCCCAGATTTCTCCCGATAGTCCCTGTTGCCCCCCCAGAGCCCCAAGTGGCCCCTTCAGCTCTTCTGCAGCCCCCACTTGTGCCCCCTCATTTCCTTTTCATCCCCTAATGCTCCGCCGGACCCCCCTTGTGCCCCCACATTTTTCCCCTGGAGCCTTTGGGGCCCCTTCCTGCCCCCCTGCAGACCCCAAAATCCCCCTCTCTGTGCCCTCACAGCTCCCTCAGAGCTCCCAGGGGGGCCCCAGAGCTCCTGCACCCCCCAAAAACTGCCTCCCAGGTGTCCCCCCCTGCCCAGCACTGAGCTCAGCTCCACCTTTAACTCTTCTCTGAGAACAGTCTCTAAACCCTCAGCAGGGATTTTTTTTTACCCCAAGTGGTGCAAACTGGAAATTATCCACCACCCCCAGGAGAAGGAATGTTCAGTAACTGATGTGACCTGGGTTTCCTCACAGCTCAAGATTTCACCTGTAAAGGGAGGGGTTCCATCAAACTGCTCCTCCCTCTGGAGTTGTGCAGGTTCCCCTGAGGTTTTAGCAGGATCCAGGGAAGGTTTAAAAACCTTGGGATTAGCCTTAGGGTTTGCACCGTGGCAAACGTGCCTGGAAAAGCGAAATTTGGGCTGATAACCCCGCTGGCCTCGGTGCCACGCAGACATTAAACAAGAAATGCCCTAAAAACAGGTTGGTTTTCCCAGTTCTAGGGAGCCTAAAAGGAAAAGTTGGAATCTTCGGTTTCAGCACAAAATTGGGCCAAGGGGAGCTGGGGAACCCCCTGATTCCCTGGATCCTTTGGGGGAATTCTGGAGCCTCTGCTCCGCCTGTGGAACAAGGGATCACACCCCAGGGATGCTGATCAAATTCCTTGGGAACTTGGGCTGGGAGAGAGGCAGGAAAAGTCCTCCACACGGGGACTCTCCATGGACTCTCAGCCCCTCAGAACTGGGTTATCCCGAGGGTCAGGGGGGCAGATGAGCCTGGAATGCTCAGCCATCCATCCTCAGTGATCCATCTGTGCCTGCAGTGGTGGGGCCTGGAGCAATCCCGATCCTGCAGTGAGCAGCTCCCACAGCCCGGGAATGGCCGGGGGCCGGCGGGGTCCCAACAGAACCTCCTACTGCCGGAACCCGCTGTGCGAGCCCGGAGCTGCCGGCGCCTCCGGACACTCCTCGGGCTCCTCCGTCACCGGCGTGCGCTCCCGGACCAGGTACGGACACCCCGGAGCCCTGGGGGGGCTTCAACCTCCTCCACTGCCCACTCCCTGCCACAGCTTCTCTGTCCCACCCTGAGCTCCCCTCTCGCGGTTTGAAGCCATTCCCTCCCAGGCTGGGAGGGTCAGGTTGGATATTGGGAGAGAATTCCTCACAAAAAGGGTGGCCGGGCCTTGGAAGGGGCTGCCCAGGGAAGTGGGGGATTCCCCATCCCTGGGGGTGTCCAAACCATCCCTGGGGTGTCCGAACCATCCCTGGGGGTGTCCAAACCATCCCTGGGAGTGTCCAATCCATCCCTGGGACTTTGCAAACCATCCCTGGGGGTGTCCAATCCATCCCTGGGACTGTCCAATCCATCCCTGGGAGTGTTCAAACCATCCCTGGGACTTTGCAAACCATCCCTGGGGGTGTCCAAACCATACCTGGGACTGTCCAATCCATCCCTGGAAGTGTCCAGTCCATCCCTGGAGGTGTCCAATCCATCCCTGGGACTGTCCAAACCATCCCTGGGAGTGTCCAATCTATCCCTGGGAGTATTCAAACAAGTGGATGTGGAGCTCTTTGAGAGGGTTTGATGGGTTTGGGGTCACAGGGTTGATCTCAGTGATCTTGGAGAGCTTTTCCAACCTTAAAGCCCGTCCAGTCCCACCCCTGCCCTGGGCAGGAACACTTTCCCCTATCCCAGGTTGCTCCAGCCTGGCTTTGGACACTCCCAGGGATGGGCCAGCCACAGCTTCCCTGGGAAATCCATCCCAGCCCCTCCCCACCCTCACAGGGAGGAATTTCTCCCCACTATCCCATCTGACCATGCCCTCTGGCACTGGGAAGCCACTCCCCCTTGTCCTCTCACCCTCCTGAAAAGCCCGGATTCCTTGGAGATGAGCTGGGGTGTGGATCTGTGCATTCCCCACCTGTGAAAAGGAGCTGTGTGTGCTCCACCTGTGGCCTTGCCTGGATAGCTGTATCCCTGTGATTTTCCTGTTTTAAACCCCTGCACTGATCCAGCTGCATCCCCCAGGATCAGCACTCTTCCTGCAGCCACACTCCCTGGGCTCAGTGTGCTTTCCTTTCGGGGTTTTCAGTGGGAGTTCCTTCGTGCTCTGTAGTTTCTTTGGAACCCACACCCAGATTCCTTTGCCTGCTGTTACTTAGAGGCTGCAAATCAGGACAGATAAATCTGGTGTATCTTAATTCCCCTCGATGAAAGGATCTGTCTGGGATCCTGTGCGTGCTCACACAGGAACACACACACCTCTGGCTAAACTCGTTTTTCCTCCTCAGGTGAACAGAAGGTGAAGAATGAACAAGGGCTTGTGTGTAATTGCTCTGTCTTTCATGTTCAAGCCCTCTTAAGATATGTAAATAGCAACTTGAGGTCTGAAAGCTTCCAATTAATTAAGAGGGCCACTGGTTGTCCCCTGGGTAGCACAGCACAGCCCCCGGTTTGAACCTGGCTCCACACAGGGGATTTAATGGCAAGTGACCTGGTGCTGCAGGCTGGCCTGGTTCCAAGTTTTGCTTTCTCTGGGCAAATTCCTGCTCACATCTGCCTGCCAGAGTCACCCTGGATGCCTTTGGGTTGCTGACACTTCTGATTTGTGGCAGCCACCGCTGGTCAGCTTGGGTTTCTCAGTCAGGATTAGAGCGTGCCCAGCCTGGGTGGGTGGGCAGGAGGACACTGCCCTGTTCACTGCTGACTCTTGGCTTCCCTTGGCAGGAGTGGCTCAGGTACAGGCCTTTCCAGCCCCCCTTTGGCTGCACAGACAGTGGTCCCCCTGAGGCACTGTAAGATCCCAGAGCTGCCTGTGGAGAGGAGTGTCCTGTTTGAGCTCCAGCTCTTCTTCTGCCACCTCGTCGCTCTCTTTGTCCACTACATCAACATCTACAAGACGGTGTGGTGGTATCCACCCTCCCACCCTCCCTCCCACACGTCACTGGTAAGCACCAAGGATGTCTCTTGGGTCGTTAAACATTAAATTTTATGTATATTTATATTTAATGTAAACTGCATGTGACTCTGCAGCCCTTCAGGGCCGCTCCTGCAACTCTTTATTTTGCCGAGTTTTGGGCACTGGCTGCCTGCTTGTCTTTCTCTCTCTGATCTTGGAAGGGAGTCCAAAGAGAAGAGAAAAACATGGGAGTTTCTCTGTTGAATGTGGGTTTCTGCTGCCTCATGGAGACAGGATCATTTTGGTTTTGTCTCCACAGAACTTTCACCTCATCGACTTCAACGTGCTGACGGTGACAACCATCGTCCTGGCCCGGCGGCTCATCAGTGCTATTGTGAAGGAGGTAAAGTCCCCAGGCAGATCTCAGAGCTGTTCTTCCAGGGGAATGGCAAGGCTGTGTGTCCCTTCTGCAGTTCCAGGCTTCTCTGTCCTTTCCTAAAGAGCTTTGGCATACACCCAAGTCAGAATCCAATCAGGGTGTGGTTTGGAGTGGGAAGAGCAGAGAACAGAACTGAGAGCCCCAAACCACCTCTCCTGACTCTGTCCTTCTGGGATTGTCTCTGAGTTACTGTCTCAGCTAGATTGTAGGGATTCTGCTTCCCTCCTCCTGTTTGGCTCTTTTCCTGTTCTCTCCATCACTCCACCTTTCCCCAAGGAAAGTCAGTGGGGTCTGCTCACTGTGGAAATGTCCTGTGGTGAGCAGGGGCTGGTCACACTTAACTGCCAGACCTTAACAAGGAGCTCTGAGCTCTCCTCCCTCTGACCTGAGGAATGAGGCCCAGATTCCAGAGATTTTGGAGAGTCCAGATTCCACAGAAGGCCCCCCCAATCCTGGTGTCACTCAGCCTTTCACTGGTGCTTTACTTGGTTCACAGATGGAGTTTGCTCCCTGCAGGAAGAGGGAATGAGCCTCCCATGTCCCAGCTCTCTCCTCTCTCCCACAGGCTTCCCAGAGTGGCAAAGTGTCCCTGCCACGCTCCGTGTTCCTGGTGGTCACTCGGTTTGCCGTCCTCACCGGCACGGGCTGGAGCCTGTGCCGATCCATCATCCACCTCTTCAGAACCTACTCCTTCCTCAACCTCCTGTTCCTGTGCTACCCGTGAGTACCCCTGGGGCAGGGGGGTGGATCTCTCACGGACACTGCAGTTAGTGAGGCTTCACTTCAGTAAGTGCTCAGTCACCTGGTCACACAGTTTGTACCTTTTCCCTCCTGCTGTGTCACATTCCTTGCTGGATCTTTAACCTGTATTTCAGCTTTATGGGAGCACCAATTCTTGGGATGCTCGTGTCCTCTGAGGAGAGAGTGTGTGCTTTTCCCACAGTGTTCAGAAAACTCGTGGCTTCGGTTTCCCTTGTCTCCAGGTGGAAGGAATCAAACAGCTTCCCTGCTTTGTGTTAGCTAACAAAGGGGAGCTGGTTGTGTTTCCAGTCGTGTATGGAAATAGCTCCTTTCTCCCTGATAAATGGGGGAGGAAGCATCCTTAAAGATCTGAGACTTGAGATCAGTGGTGAAGCTCTTGTCAGGAGTTTCTGCAGGTGCTCGAGGCCATTCAGAATCACAGAACCACGGAATGGTTTGGGTTGGAAGGGCCATTCAAGATCATCCCGTTCCACCTGGGACACCTCCCAGTAGCCCAGGTTGCTCCAGCCTGGCCTTGGACACTTCCAGGGATGGGGCAACCCCAGGGAACCTCCTCCTGGCTTCAGGAAGGGGCTGTGAGCAGAGCTGCAGCAAACCCCCAGCAGTGACAGCCCCTTCTCTCCCGCGCCGCTCCAGGTTCGGGATGTACATTCCCTTCCTCCAGCTGAACTGTGACCTGCGCAAGGCGGGGCTCTTCGCACAGGTGGCCAACATCGGCCCCAGGGACACGGGCGAGGTGGGGGCGCGGGGCAGGGACTACCTGACGGTGCTGAAGGAGACGTGGAAGCAGCACACGCGGCAGATGTACGGCATGGAGGCCATGCCCACCCACGCCTGCTGCCTGTCCCCGGACCTCATCCGCAACGAGGTGGAGTACCTCAAAATGGACTTCAACTGGCGCATGAAGGAGGTGCTGGTGAGCTCCATGCTCAGTGCCTACTACGTGGCCTTCGTGCCTGTCTGGTTTGTGAAGGTGAGAGAGGGGCGGGGCTGGCCGCGAGGTGGGCACTGGGGCTGTGGTGGCAGCGTGGAGGGGGACACTGCTGAATTCCTTCTAACATTCTATTCCTGATCTGTGAGACAAATGTCTCCTCATACCTCCCTCAGCCCCCAGGGAGCTCTGTCCCCTGGTGCTCCCACCCGCCGTCAGCAGAGCACGGGGAGCATCAGGAGCCGCCTCCCTGATTTTGGTACTGGCACAGCAGTTGTGCATCAGCCATCCTATATGGGCACTTCTTTCCGAGCGGCATTAACAGCCACACGCAGCTGCCTTGTCTTACCTGCCCCAGCACTTTGTGTTCTGCTGGCTTGGGCAGGTGGGGGCTGTGCAAACACGTTGTCACACGGTGCCCAAACGTGTCACGCGTTCCTGTCCCCCCCACAGAACACTCAGTACTACGACAAACGCTGGTCCTGTGAGCTCTTCCTGCTGGTTTCCATCAGCACCTCCGTGATCCTGATGCAGTACCTGCTCCCTGCCCGCTACTGTGACCTGCTCCACAAGGCTGCAGCACACCTGGGCTGCTGGCAGAAGGTGGACCCAGCCCTCTGCTCCAACGTGCTGCAGCATCAGTAAGGAATTCTCTCCTGGGGTTAGGGCTGGATTTTTCCCTGAGAGGGCTGGACAGGGAGCTCGGCCTTAAAATAAAAAACGAGGGAGAAAACTGAGAGTGGAGTTGTCGGCCGACACCTCCAGCAGCACAGACACTCTGTGCACTGCCCACTGCCAAGCTCAGCAGTCAGAGCTGATTTTTGGCCAGGTTCCTGCTGCTCCTGGCCACGGGTACCTACCAGTTGTCACCGCCGTGGTGACACGCCCGGACAGGCCAATCTACCCTCCTGGAGCTGCTGCCCTTGGGAGTGGGAAGGCAGCAGCCCCTGTTCCCACATGCAGGCAGCACTGAGGGCTCCGTGTTCCCTGCAGGTGGACTGAGGAGTGCATGTGGCCTCAGGGGGTGTTGGTGAAGCACAGCAAGAACGTGTACAAGGCCGTGGGGCACTACAACGTGGCCGTGCCCTCCGACGTCTCGCACTTCAGATTCCACGTAAGATCACGTCTCCTTCCTGGGAAACCTGGGGATGACACCTGGGCAGGGTCATGGTCCTCGTGTCCTGGACACCTGGGGCTGCCAGAGGGTGCCTGCTTTCCAAGTGGGAATTACTGGGGTTCAGTGCAGCATCTCTTATCCCTGTGTCTCCCTTCGGTGCTGCCAGAAGGGTGACTGTCCAGACCTGCTTAAATGTGTCTCCACAGGGGAATCCCGGAGGAATCCCACCCAAAACCCACCCTGGAGGTTCTGCCCCTTGCTGGGTTGCCTCACCGCGCTCTCCCACAGTTCTTTTTCAGCAAACCACTGAGGATCCTCAACATCCTGATCCTGCTGGAAGGAGCCGTCATCTTCTACCAGCTTTACTCGCTGATTTCTTCGGAGAAGTGGCACCAGACCATCTCTCTGGCTCTGATCCTCTTCAGCAATTACTACGCCTTCTTCAAGCTGCTGCGTGACCGTCTGGTGCTGGGCAAAGCCTACTCATATGCTGCCAGCAGGGACTCAGAGCAGAAGTTAAATTAAAACAATTGCACTGATGCTCAGCTTGTTACAGAACAAACAAAACAAGAAACCCTCAGAGCTTTGTATTTTTGTTACCACTGCTTTTTTTTTTTCTTTGATAACTGATGTAATTAAAAGGAAAAAAAAAAACGTATTTTTTTACTCCCAACAAGTCGTTTGTGTGTTTGTTGTTGGGTTAAATCCTTCCCAGACGCCACACCCCCCTCCCCTCACCCTCCGAGAGGGGCTTGTGCAGTGTTTGTGTGTGAGGAGTGATTTGTTAATGGTGCTGAGCTTGGAGAGGTGCAGGGGTGGATTGGGAGTGGGCAGGTGGGAGTTACAGGTGTGTCAAAGCTCCCAGTGGGGATTCCTCCCAGTCTAGCTTCCTTTAGGAGGGGGGTGAGCCCTCATCCCGTCCTTTTGGGGACTCCAGAGGAGCTGCTGTACCCCCCTTGATGCTTCGTGGCTGTGGGGGAAGGTGGTGGTGGTGTTTTTCCAGAATGTGGGTTTGAAATTGCTGAGCCCCAACTGCTGCAGCCCCCCCGAGCGAGGTGTGCAGGGCTGTGAGGGGTCCTGCTGTAGGGGGGGACACGCGGGGAGCAGGGGGGATTCGGGGGGGCTGGGGGGATTTGGGGGAGCTCCAGCCGCTCCCCTTTGCCGTGTTACCGATGGGTCGGGTGTTCCCCCCCCGTCACCGCCCCCTGCCCATCCTGCCCGTCAGGTCTGCGCGGGGCTGGGTGGGACCCCCGGGCCGGGGGAGGAGGAGGAGGAGGAGCGGGAGGAGGGGGAAGGAGAGGGAAAGGAGGAGGGGGCGCAGCTCGTCCCGCGGGTGTCCCGGGCCCGGGGCTACGGGCCGTGCCGGGCCCTGTGAGGGGGTCCCGGGCTCCCTCCCACCCGTGGGGGGTCCCGGGAGATCCCGGGGGGGTCCCGGGTCCGGCCTTTGTTCCGGAGGGCTCCGCCGCCGCCAGGGGGCGCCCGGGGCGCGCGCTCCCGGTCCCGGTCCCGATCCTGATCCTGATTCCCATCCCGGTGCCGATCTCGATCCCAGGTCCCGTTTCCTATCCCAATATCTCTCCCGATCCCAATATCCTCCCCGATCCCGGTCCTGATCCCGGCCCTGATCCCGGTCCCGCTCCCGGTCCAGCCCCGCCGCCCCGGGGCGATTGTTGCGACTGAAAGCGGACATCCAGCCCCGGAGCTGGCCGGGGGAACCGGGAGCGGGATGGGGAGCAGGACAAGGACCGGGACCGGCAGCAGCATCGCCCGGGGCACCGGCGGGGGGGATTCGGTGCCCGGCAGAGCCCCGAGAGACGGCGGGGACACGGCGGGGACACGGCCGGGACACGGAGGGGCAAAGGGCACCCTTTGTGAGCGCTGCCGTCACGGGGCGAAGGGCGAGGAAGAGGAAGGAGCCGCGGGAATACCGAGGGGGGAGCCGGATGCGGCCGAGCCCTCTGGGACTGTGCCCCCCTCACTCCCAGCCCACACCGGGACCCGCACGGACCCGGGGTCCCCCCACGCCCGCGGACACCGAGGGGCTTCGCTGCCTGGGGCGGCTGCGGGAACCCCCTGCGCCCCCAGGAAGGTCCCCTGGGGTTGGGGGCACAGAGAGGCCCCCCCCAACTTGTCCCTGTCTCCCGTGTGACCCCACCAGGACCAAACCCAGTCTCCGGACGGGGTTTCCATAGGGATGGAGTGGGGGGGGTGATGTCGGGGCGCCAAGGGCGGGTGTGCCGGTGCCCCGGCCCCCTCCCCAGCACGGCGGGAGGAAACGGCCGTGTCCAGCCTTTCCCGAGGATGAGGATTTCCTTCCTCCCATTGAGCAGGGACCCTGGGGTTAGCACGCAGCCGTGGGGCGCTCGGCCACAGGATGGGGGGGTTTGGCTGGGAATTGGGGGGCAGAGACCCCTCCTGACACACAGCCCTGGGAGCAGCTCCCTCAGGACCTCCTGCTCCTCCCCTTGCCCAGCCAGGACCCCAGGGATGAAGGAGATGGATTTGGATGGGCACAGGATGGAGACGTGCAGCCATTTCCTTCTCTCCTTCCCTTTTTCCCAGCCTGAGTGCACTGCGGATATTCTGGGGGCAAGAAGGAGCTGGACACGGAGATTACTGGCTTCCCAGAAATGCTCTTCCTGCAGCTGGGAAAGGCCGTCACTGGGAGCAGTGACACGTCCCATTTCCCTTGAACGGGGGCTTTCCCAGGGCCCCTGGAGGGGATGAGGTCCCAGGGGAGATCCCGGGTGGGAATTCCCCTGGGAGCAGCCGGGCTCAACAAGGAGGTGGCTCCACTGGGGACCCAGAGACCCTGGGGGTCCTGGACAACCCACACAGTGTCGGCCCGTGGGCTGCACCCCGGGGGTCCTGGCCTGGCCGGGCTCCATCTGCCGCCTCCCCACGCCCGCTAATCCCGGGATTAGCAGGCAGATGCCAGGCGCAGGTTTGCCGCAGGTAACGAGGATCCCCCGGGAGGAGGTGACAGACATCAAAGTGCAGGCAATTATGGCTAATCCCACCCCAGTGTCCCCCCTGGCTGGGCGGGCGTGGGCCCCGAGCCAGGAGGGACAGGGAGCCCCCCGTGTCTGCTGGGGACACGTCCCGGGGTGCCCCCAGGCCTGGGACCCCAGGAAAACGGATGTGCTGGAGAGAAAATCCAGGCAGAAATGCCCTCCGTGGGTTTGGCACTGCTGGGGACGTGGCTGAGCCCTCCCTGTTCACACCCCAAAGGGGGATAAGCTTCGGCCTCCTGCTGCCCGCCGGGAATCCCCTCACTGCTTCCCACCACTTCCCAGCGGATGTAGCTGATGGGAAGTGGCTGTTTTCCCTGAAAAGCTCGTCCCAGCATTCCTGGGAGGCCACGTCTCCCACCCCATCCCTGTTCCTGGGCCCTGCAGTCAGTCGGTTCCTGGCTGCTCCCAGCCCAGCTCGGCACAGATGGAGGATGGACACTGTCCTGGGTTGCTGGGTCCTGGATTTCTGGGTGATCCTGCAGCAAAACCCCCCTCACCAGGGACCTGACAGACACCTCCCAGCGTCTCCTCATCCCCCCAGAAATCCCTGGCTGGTTCACTGCCGAATCCAGCATCCAGCAGCTGCTGAGGCAGGAATTTGGATGGGGAGGATGGGACAGGAGCACCCCACCAAGCCAAAGGTGATCCCACCTGGGCTGTGCCATCCTGTACCCGGAGGGTGGCAGCTTTAATTCCTCCTCCCAAATAAATATTTTTGACATTAATAAAGCCAAATCCCCAAAGTGGCTAATTCAGGATTTGTTTGCCCACCGTCACCTCACACCGTGGCAGGCTGTGAGTGACATCAAGAGGGGAAGAACATCAGAGGGGTGGTGGGAGCTGCTTCCCCGTGCCCATCCCAGCAGCATCCCTGCTCCTCCGGGGCTGGGAGCTGGGGACCCCCAAGGAATATCCCAGACTTTGCTCTCCTGCAGACCCAGAGCTGTGGGGTCTCCATGGGGGGCACCCAAATCCAGGAGATGCTGAGCTGAGCTGAGCTGGGCCTAGATGAGCTGAGCTGAGCTGAGCTGAGCCAACCAACCACTGCCTGACCTTGCCCAGGGCCCACCTGGCCAAAACCGGGGCAGAACACGGCCCACGAGGCCCCCCCACCCGTCCTGCCATAATTGGGAGCCCTGATTAGCATATGTGCATCCTCATTAGCAATTACACACATGTCCTCATTTCCTCTTCCAAACAAGTCCGTGATGGGGACCCCGGGAGCCGGAGCAAACATGGGGTGGATGGTCAGACCCTGAGCCACCCCCCCCACCCTCTGCCATCGCCTGAGACCACCAAACTCATTGCAGTGGTGCCCGGGAGCAGAGGCAGCACCCCCAGCACGCTGGGCCCCGCCGGGGGCGGCTCCTGCGGGGAGCAGATGGTGACTCCAAGCACGGGGGCCAGATGGACCCTCCCGCCGTCCCCCCCTCCGCTTCCGCTGCCATTTTACCCGGCAGCTCCAACCGCCGCTATAAATATTTAACAGCTCCATCCCCTGCTCCGCTGCCAAGCCGGCAGCTCCTGGAGCTCCAGCCCTGCTCTGGGAGGCACCGGGATGAGACCCCTCCAGTGTGAGGGCACAGCGGGGGCGCGGCCCCTCCAGCGGCATCGCTCAGGGGCCTGGGCTAAACATTCCCGGTGATCTGGGCTGGAGATGTCTGAGGACTCAAAGGTGGTGAATGGAGGCCTTGGGGAATGTTGGGACGTTTCCCAAGAGCTGGGACGAGGGGAGGGCTTGGGAAGGTCACCCACCTCCCAGGTGGGTGTCAGGCTGGGCGCTGTGTAGGCCGAGCCCCCCAAACCCTCACGGAGCTCCAAAGGAACACAAGACACTCCAAACCCACCCCTCCATCCCTGGGGGTCCTGGATCCTCGGTTGGGCCCCAACCAGGAGCTCCGTGAGCAGCAGCACCGCCTCTGCCACCACCAGATTTCCATCCTGCACCCTGATTTTGGGATCTCCCACCCTGCAGCACGAGGCTGCGAGTCCCGACGTGTGGCTGCTGCAGGACAGGCCGGGACCTGCAGCCCCTGGGGCGGCAAGAGGCGTTCGCAGCCCAGGGCTCTCCCGGGAACCGCCGAGTTTCGGTCGGTGCCACCGCGGGCACGGCCGTGCCCCACACGTGCACCGGGGCAGCCCCTGGCCAGGGCCAGGCTTCCTCCCTCCGGCCTTCCCGACGCTCTTCCCCTGGCCCCGAGGCCGGGGCTGCCTTCCTGCCCCGCTGCCGTCCCGCTTCCTGCCCCACGGCGCTGTCTCCTCCACACGGAGCATTCCCGGCCGTCCCAGCTGTGCCAGCACCATCCATCCGCTTTGCCGAGCCTCGGACGGGGTGACCTGGCCTTGGCATGGTGTCCCCAGACCATGTGCCCTCCTCGTGGCTTCCGATGCCCAGGATCCCTGTGGGACCCTGTCCTGTGGGATGCTGCTGTCAGGGGTTCCAGGGGGTCCCTGTTCCACCTGCCCTTCCCTTCCAGCCCAGCGATAACGGCATCGAGCGGAGCCATCCTCCCGCCGGGCTCGCCCCAGGGAGCGGCAATTCCCTGATTCCAATCACTTTTGGGGATCTACCGCTGACCTAGTTTATAATCCACCGCTCGGGGCGGCAGGGATGGCACGCAGGGCACCGGCAACGAGCGGGAGCTCTCCGGGAGCACCAACA